CAGGGGAGTCAGGGTCAGAGCAATGAAAGATAAGAAAGACTGAGCCAGCTGCTGCCGGATTTGAAGATGCAGGACAAAGAAGCCAGGAAATAGGGGTAGACTCTAGAATCTGGAAAAGGCAGGGAAACGGACTCTTCCCTACAGCCTCCAGAAAGGAATGCAATCTGCTGACACTTTGATTTCAGCCCAGTGAGAGACCCATTTAAGACTTCTGACCTCCAGTCTGTCAGATAATGAATTTGTGTCATTTTAGCAACTGATTTGTTACAGCAGCCATAGGAGACTAATACAGATTTTGGTGCTGTAAGTGGAGTGCTGCTGTAATGGACACAGAAGTGGCTTTGGAATTGGGCACTGGGCAGAGGCTTGAAGAATTTGAGGAGCATGTTAGAATAGCCCAGATCACCTTGAAGAGACCACCAGCAGATATATGAGTGTTAACAACTCTGCTGGCGAGGAATCAGAAGAAACTAAGGAGCACGGCAGAGAAAACTTGCGTCACCTTGAGGAATACCTAAATTGGCATGAATGGATTATGAGCAAAACTATGGTCATTAAAGGCTCTGCCAGCTAAAGCCTCAGATGGGAATGAGAAACATGTTGTTGGAAACTGGATAAAAGGAGACACTGTGTCAGAAAGCTTAGCTGAAGTTCACCCTGTAGCCATGTGGGGAGCAAAACCCATATGTGATGAGGTTGGATATTCAGCTGAGGAGATTTCCAAGCAAAGTGTTGAAGGTGTGGCCTGTTTTTTCCTTGCTGTTTATATTAAAATGTGGGAGAAAGGGTTCAATTGAGAGAAGAACTGCTGAGTACAAAGTAACAGGACTTGACGATCTGGGAAATTCTCAATTATACAGATCACAGGGAACGTCCAAACTGGGAGGCCAACTGTCAGGAAGTCCGCGCTGGAGAGAAGCCACAGGAGTGGCTGGATAATCTTTTGCTAGTGCCTCAGAAGGCTCAGAAGGGCACAGCATTCTGTCCTGCGAGGACTCTGAAGAGATGAGTATGTGGACATCTTTGTGGGGAACATTATTCTTTTTATCATGATTTACCCTCTGGCCCCTAAAGATCTGCATTCATTCCACATGTAAAATACGTTCACTCTATTCTGCCATCTCCAAGTCTCCACAGCCACAGCAGGAAACGGCGGCTGAGCAGGCATGGAGGCACGGAGGACTGGGCTCTCCACTGCTTCCCATGCTCAGCCGCCCAGGGACAGGTCCTGGGGATGCAAACATGAGCCAGATATGGCCCCACCCTCAGGGGGCTGCAGCCTTGCAGAAGGAAGGACGAACGCATGAGGTGGGCGTCAAGTCTTCCATAGCTCTGGCGACGGGTCTGCACCAGGCACACTGGGCACTTTCTCAATACCCTGTTATATTTTCTTCAAGGTAATTATCAGATGTGAAGCTACCGTTTACTTCCTTGCTTGCGGCCTCTGGAGTCTAAAGTCTG